AGTTCCAGTTGCTCTGCCCCGGGCTTCCTGGAATCAGCCGCTGATCAGTTTCAGCAGCAGCTGACTTGGGGTTCTTAAGTTGAATCTGTATGTAAGTCAGAACTGGCGGTCAGTTTCAGCAGTGTCTGAATCTGGACGCCAGTTCCGACTTACAGATTCAACTTAAGAACAAACATACAGTCCCTATCTTGTACGTAACCCGGGGACTGCCTGTATTTCCATTTACCTAATTTCAAAGCACATAATCTAGTTCCTACTTCCCATTCCAACCAAGTATGCAGCTATCTGACCTTGTCTCACAAAGGCCTAAGATTATTCCTAGCTATGTTTTGTTTGATGGTCAGCTGGCAGTAGCTGAACATACAAAATGGCTGCCTGCAGTACTGCCAAGTTCTGAGATACCCTGGAATCTGAACATTCTTGCATGTAACTGGGTGTTGTGAGTTATAGCTACATTAGAATACTACAGTAATAGACATATGAGCACCTAAACCAAAGAGTAAAACAAAGCCACCAGCAGGAAATGAACAACCTGTATTTGGTTTGCTGTACCACTCAGCTCACATTTGCACTCTCAGTAAGTGGCACTTACTTGTTCTGCTCAGAAATTTAGTAAACGCTATTCTAGCCAGCTCTTTCTACACCAAATCATGGTCTCTCTCCTTCCACTATTCCTCCCCACCCCGAATAAAATTCTGCTCTTTGAAGTGCAGGCTGAAGTTATTTCTCCTGCTCCTAAGAACAGAGGAATAGGAGGAGGAATGTATACTGAGCACAAAAATTCAAATATTTTGAAGACAAATGCTCCAATCAGGTTCTTCACACTAGGGATGTAAGTGACTAGTTCACTACCCAATAAGCTATATACTTACTGTATAGTTGAGTAATGAGTTGACTAGCTGCTCTCCCCCGTCTTGCTGCCTCTATCAGAGAGAGGTAGCAAGGGGGGAGGGGAAGCAGGAGCCAGTGCTGGGGGGAACAGTCTTAAAAGCCAGTTACCTCCAGGACCGTCT